AAAAAAAAAAAAAAAAAAAAAAAGACGGTCTTTTGAGGACTACAAATTACAAAGCGGATCACTACATAGAAATCTAGTGAATACATTTTTGCCGGTGCATGAAAAATTAATCGAGTTACTCATTTAACAGTTTTACTCCATTCACAATATAATCAGTTCTAATGCTCTTATTAAGGTTGTTATACCTTTATTTCAAATTGTTTTTACACATTCCTCTGTCAAGACGAGTTTTAAACACCATGGTCTTGGCTAAGGAGAATGGCACCTTGAAAGGGGGCGACTTCCGCTCAGTCTCCAGTGGCATCGGTCCTGGGCTAGTAGTTCCTTGCGAGTGAAGAAGCTTCACAATGGTCACTAGAACACAACCCGTGACCCACAGACAGGCAGCAGCGAGAGCAGAGGAAAATGAAAAGGAGGGCATTAAAGTCATCTAGGATCAATCATCTACAAGTATTTGGCAGCTGGGGAATGTTCCAGGCCTAGGCAGGAGACACGGCTGAGCGGCTGGAGACACAGGACCGTGCTTGCTTCTTGACCTCAACAGCTCACCAGGCACAGGAAGCAGGCCCTGAAGGCTCCAACGGAGCAGGCTGACCTCACTCTCCACTGTCAGAAACTCCTGGCTTTAGCACAGCTACTTCCTCTACCACTCACATACCCTGCGAAGTTCTTTCCTATCAGTCTAAGTGCACTCTGAGCATAAAATGTTTTAAGTGACAACACTTTCCTAAGGTACATTTGAAAATGGCTGTATGGAAAGAAAACCCATCCGTTAACTGACTGCAGAAGTTTCTCAGCAGGAAACGATTCCCCACCACCTCTGTTGCCTCTGATTCTGGAATTTCTCAAGTCGGTTCTCCATGGCTTCACTAAGGATGAAATCCAGACAGTAGATAACTGAATTTAAGGACATCTGGGGCTAAGGCGGCAAGAAAATGCTAACATGCAAGCAGTGGTCCGGGCACTCAGGATTCGTGCTGATGAACTGAGTAAGAGACTTCGGTGATGAGCAGGGCTCTCTGGACAAGTGAATTATCACACAAATCACGGGCTTCTGAGAATTTGGATACTTTTACAGTTTAATTTGCAAACAGAAATTTTATAACAAATTATTTTTAACCAAATCATATCTTGAAAACTGTTTATATATAGAAAACCCAGGGAACAATGTGAACTGTTCATCATGGAAGGCCTTAAATTACATTATTACAGTAGAAAATACAGGAGGTAGAAGAGAACTGAAAAGACTAATGATGCAACGTTAGATTCGAATCTATAGCTCCTGTAATACTTAAAACATGGTTTTAGGAACTAAACACTTCCAGTAACCATAGAAACAGTTAAAATAAAGTTTGCCACGAAAGCCCTTCTATCATGCTTGATACAGGGAGGTAGGAAGATGTACGAACCAGGACACATGAGATATGACATTTATCTACACCCCTGCTTGCTTTACTGAGGACGCAGGTTCAAAACTCAGTCACCGTCTTCAGCTTCAGACTCGGACTCTGGAAAGGGGAAAAATGCAGTCAAGCGCCGGAGAGCACAGGCTCCCACCACCGAGCTGCCGCCTGTTACCACAGCCCGGGAGTTCTGCGAAGCTTTCACTTGGATGAGAGGGCTGTTCAGAAGTATTCATTTAGACACCACAAAAGTAGTAAGTGTTGTTAAACTCTCAACTTCCTTCCTGAAGGTGTGCAGAGCTATGGCTGAGTGGCCAACACACTGCACTGTTGTCTTATTCTCCCGCCTGTCTTAATCACCCACAAGCCTAAGTGAGACTCAGAGCAGGAACAGCCAGAGGCGAGTGTGTGGTGAAGCTGTGCCCAGAGCTGTATGCAGAGGACTGACCTTCCTCCGCGTTCTTGAGCCACTCCACGAACTTCTTCATTTGCTCCAGGAACACGCTCTTCCCCTTGGCCATGTGTGCATCCTTGTACCACTTCAGAATGGGCTCCTCACTCAGGACCTCGGCTGTGAAGAGAAGACATGGCTCGTCAGCAGGCACACCTGGATCTGGCAGAGGGGGCGACTGAGGCACAAATGCCCGCCTGGCAGACCACGAACGGTTATTCTGCTGCCGTCGAGAAACTGTGTTCAAACACTGGTTTCTTCAACAGTCAATTTCAAGAGACATTATCAACCTGTCGCCCAGGTATGAACTTGCAATGTGGGGAGAACTGCGGAGGCCGAGGGCACTCAGTAACCCACTGCGGCCAGTCATGGGGCCGGGACTGGGCAGATCCCAAACACAAAAGCACTGCGGAAACTCAGGCAGAACACGTGGAGACCAAGGCTGCTCTCACCAACACAGAAGCTTAAACCACATCACAGCCAGTCGGCTGATGCCTGCGTGGGCTGTGCCACAGATTTAGTGCGGTTCCTGAAACGGGCTCCAGAGGGGGCAGCAACTGGAGCTGGGCTACATGCAAGCACCTGAACTGGCCGGGGGGCCCAGGGTCAGCGACACTGGGTGGGGTGAAGGCCTGGCGCTGGTGCTCTGCGTTACCTTTGTAAAAAAGCACCACTATTTTCTGGAAGGCCTTCATGAAGTGGATGTTGTCGTAGCAATACTCCTGGATCTTCAGCAAGAGAGTCAGCTCGGACTGGCCTTGGGTGGTGAAGGCAGCGAGGAGAGGGCTGTATTGCTTTCCAAGGAAAGGAGGAGAGACCGTCACCCACCAAATGACTGTCATCCACACTCTCAGTCACTACAGGACGCGACCCGGCCCTCATGCTCACTAGGCCTGATTTGCTTACCAGAAATGAAAACGGGAATGCAGAAAAATCCAAGCATATATATCATACAAACACGCTTCTACAAGCATTTCAGGCAACTGCTAAAGAGTGTTAATATTTTAGAGGAAACAAAAGAGTCCTACTTTCCAAGATTCGCTCAGTAGCAAACATCAACTTGCAGGCTTCTCCTTTTTTTGGCGTGGTACTGGGGATTGAACACAGAGCCCCTGCCCTCAGCTTCACCCTTAGCTCCTTTCTCAGACACGATCTCACTAAGTGGCTAAGTTGCTCTGGTTGGGCTCAAAATTTTGACCGTCCTGCTTCAGCTTCCTGGAGTGCTGGACCTACAGGTGTGCACCAACGCCGCGTGGCTAGGCCTATACCACTTTAAAACCTGTTTCTGGGTCAGGGATTTAGCGCAATGGTTCTGGTGCCTGCCTCTCAAGCGCAAGGACCCAAGTTCCGTTCCCGGTGCCAAAAAAAAAGGAACATAAACATACAACCTGTTTCTGTTTTGCAACCTGAGAACCAAATTAAGCCCGAGTCAGGCTTAGAAGTGCTTCGTGGCCGGGGTGCCACCCGCCCTCCCAGGGCTTGGCCTCACCTTCAAGTGCTTGATGGCCTGCTCCGCTACAAGCTCCTCCTTCTTGTTCCACTCCACCGTACTCATCACGCTCGACCAGACGATCCCAATCACTACCGGCTCGGGGATGTTGTTCTTCTTCATCTCCTCCTTGACATGCAGAATTATCTACAACAGAGGAATTCGGTAGCAGAAGTCAGTTTCACACACTATTTCTACACCAACTTCAAGCCTTTCTAAGAGCACAGAAATACTTCCCCATGTTACTGGCCAACCAGCACATGGCACCATAAACACAGTCTCTGGAAGGGGCAGGGACCTGAGTTTCAACCTCAGTTCTTACAGGAACTGGCTGGGAGGCCCCCAAGCGGCAGGAGCTGCCAACCACAGGCATCAGCCCGGTGCCAGCCCGGCTCAGGGAGACGGCTGGAGCAGAGGTGCAGCCCCTCACCTACGCCGGTAAGCAGATTTCTGGGGACACGTGTTTCTCAAGAGCAAACCTGAGGCTGGACACAGCCACACCAGGGTGCTTACGTCCTTGAACGGGTCTCCGCGGGACATCTGCTCCTGAAGCTCCTTCTGCAGCTCCTTCCGGGCGCCTATGGTTTGCTGGTTCCGGACGTACTCAGACAGCTCCTTCAAGCCCGCCTCAGTGAAGTATTTTGTGAAGTGCTCCACACTCTGCTTATTGGCGGGAAAAAGTTCCTACAAGGGGAATTTGACCTCGCACATCATACTAAGAAAAACACTGGGATTTGAAAAAACATTTCCTCTTATGATGTGCGCAGGTGAAGACAGGAAGGAGGAAAAGCCACACACCATCAGCCTGTTGTCCATGCTGACTTTCCGAAGACTCGCAGCCACCGCGTTGATGTCTTTCTCGTTGATCCAGGATTTGAAGAGCTTCACAGCAAATGCTGCTGAAACCCCTGTCAAAGGAGAGAGGAGCTGACTTACCGGAGTGCGCTGGGCTTCACAGCTCGGCCCCTGCCTCAATTCCCCAGCTTGTCCTGGCTGTCCCCTGCTGAGCCCTAACTGTCCTTGGCCACCACTGCACCCCGCTCCATGCTCTCAATTGCCAAGTGCTGCCTCCGTGTTTCCAGAGGTGAACTCCAAGATGACAACAGTTTCCACATGCGAGAGGCTGCTTTGAGAACTAAAGGGACCATTAAATACCCAGTACTCTAGGAAAAATAAAACCGGGCTTTCTGTGCTAATGTTCTGTAGCTGGCATCAGACTCCCCGAGTCCCCTGCTGGCGGAATCTGCTCACTGTGCTACTCACAGCACACTGCACCCACACCCTGCTCTCTGCTGAGACAGGAAGGTGTGCGCAGAGCCCTGCTCTGGCCATCAGCTCCCCACAGCGCCTGCTGCCCCACCCCCCAGTGCCAGGTGGACCTGGCCACCCACAGGTCACCTTCTTTCACCAGGTTCTCGTTGTACAGGCTGTTAAGGATGGATGCGTTGAGAGTCCCATTAGCCAGCAGCACACCTGTCAACATGGCCAACTTGTTCCGCTCCGACTCAGAAAAACCCTTTAAGAACAGCAGCAGCTGTAAAACAAACAACTGGTGGTTAAAAGAAGAATTGCAGCCCAGTAAGAGAAGCAGTGATGCACAGTGTATTCGTTACCAGTCCCTCCAAGTGCCCTTCACAGCAGCAATAGGGCTTTGGGCAAACATTAAAAATGGGGATAGCAAAACTTACCTCAGAGGCCTTACAAACAGCACATGATTCACTATAGCACTGCCTTGTCTCCACAGATGTATTACCAGGTGTTCTGCCCAACTACTCATGAAATATTTAACAATGGGACTCAAGCACCAAAAAAGCTAAATTTTTTTCTTTTCCAGTGGTATCTGGGATGGAACCCAGGGCCTCACGCATGCGAGGTGAAGGCTCTACCACTAAGCTACATTCTCTGCTCTTTGGACACAAAGCTCTGTCATTCAGGCTGGGGTTCAGGTTGGTCTTGAACTATGCAGCCCAGGCTGGCCTCAAACCCAAGGCCATCCTCCTGCCTCAGCCTTCTGAATGCTGGGAATACAGGTGTGTACCACTGTACCAGGTTCAAGTTAAAAACTTAAATCAACTCAGATTATATACTCCCCCAAACTACAGTTCAGTGAGAGTCTACCTATGTATCTAAAATGACATCAAGTCCGTGACAGACTCAGGATTTAACATTACCCTTTCTGGCCTTATTCTTTTTTTCTTTTGTCTTGGTGCTGGGGACTGAACCCAGGCCTCAAGTACACCAAGCACACGCTCCACCACTGACACCATCCCAGCCCCTCCACATACCTTTTTCACCTCATCTTCAAAGCCTTTCTCCAGGTATTTGTAGCGCCTGATTAACTTGTTAAAAACCTAGGAAGGACATCAAAGTTATTTCTAGAACAGCAAAGTGAGCCTTTCACTGGCTAGAACAGCTTACACGTTTATGCTACTTCCACCATCCCAATGTGGCCCTCACATTAATGCTTAACAGTCCCCCTCAATGGGTTTGTGTGTTGCACATTAAAGGACTAATTATTGCTCAAAAACAAGCCATTAACAGGGACAGAACAGTTCCCCACTTTCTAATGATGTAGATAATTTCCGGGCTACATGCATTTAAATTCTTTGCTCTTAGTAATAAAAACATCCCTACACATGACACCTTCAAAAGAGATCCTGATTAAGAAGTTAATCTGCCTAGAATTCATTTATCTTAAAAAACAGCTGCATGCAGAATAGTTCAACTACAGAAATCTAACAGGAAACTGCTATGCGTTTTCAGATTAACATTTTTCTTAAACACAAAGAGTTAATATAATTTTTTATGTTTGACTCTCCCTAATATAGCTAAAGTCTCTGATTGCACCAAGGACAGCACTCTTAAAACTTAAGATGGACTTCCCTCACTGAAGTTACTACCCTGACCTTCAAAGAACACCCCTGGAGTGTCAGACGGGCCGGACAGCAGCCTCTCACTCACTTGTGCAAACGCCTGCATGGTCTCCAGGTCCTCCTGTGCTGCAAAAACACAGACGTCTGTACGCATCATGTCGTCGGCCAGGGTGCCACCTGGGGCTGAGGGCATTCACAGAAAATGCACATGACCTTCACGTGAAACCCACAATCATTTCAACCTTATTTTCCATAAAGACTTTCAATATAAAAAAAGGTAACCTTTGAAAACATGAATTAGGGCTGGGGACTTAGCTCAGTGGTACAGCGCCTGGATCCCTGGTACAAAAAAACAACACAAATTAAAAGCAATACCACTTGTCAGAAGGGACGTGGCTGATTGGTTTCCTATGTTGGAATAGAGTGTAACACTACCTACATTGCCCAAAGAGAACGCACCAGAGGCCCAGCACTGAGCACAGCTGGCAGCCACACTCAGCCGACCTGTGACTCTGCACACACAGAAGCCTTCTCAGCTTCCAAAGAGGGTGTGCTGTCATAACCTCCAGGCTGGAGAGTGCAGGTTAGCAAATTAAGGAGGGGCTAAACCTGTGGGAACAGATGAAGCAGGACTGAGTTGTTAGTAACTGAAGCTGGATAACACCAGACGTTCTTTAGGACGTGCCTGAAACTTCCCTTAGTAAATCTCTCTTAAAAGATTTTTTTTTTTTTTTTTTTTTGAGACAGGGTCTCAATATGTAGTTGAGACTGACATGGAACTCACTATGTAGCCTAGGCTGACCTCGAACTCATAGCAATCCTCCTGCCTCAACCTCCTGAGTGCTGGGATTACAGGCATGCACCATCACGCCTGGCTCTTTAAAGTATTTCAGCCAGGCCCAGTGACATGCGCTTCCAATACCAACAACTAGAAGGCTGAGTGAGGCAGGAGCATGTCTGGTCAAGTACACACCCCCTGCCCCACCTACACAGTAAGACCTTGTCTCAAAGCCAAAAAAAAAGCAAAGTCTTGCATATAGCAGTACTATGAATAGCTGTAAAAACATTTCACATTTCTTATAAATCATTAGCATTAATAAATATTCCTGTGACTAGGCATGAATTAGCACATATTAATTTTAAGTTCCTGATTCCACCAGTCATATAATTTAAAAAAAATGCATACACATATAATTTTTGGTGGTGGTACTGGAGATTGGACCTAGGGCTGGGCAGTGAGGTAATCCCCAGCCCCTTTCCTTTTTTGGGACAGGGTCTTGCTAAATTTTCCAGGCTGGCTTCACACATGCAGGCTCCAGCCTCAGCCTCCCAAGTATCACAGTGAGCTTTTCTCAGGTTCCATTCTTTTTTTTTGATACCAGGGATTGAACTCAGGACCTTATACTTGCAAGGCAGGCGGCAGAGCCACTGAACTAAATCCCCAGCCCTCTCAGGTTCCATTCTGCATGTACACAAACAGTGTTCTGATTTCCTTATAGCTTGGCTCTGAGGGTCAACACACTAAAACTCTAAAAACATTCTAAGTAGTTTTATATTCCATTACATCTATTAAAATAGATTTTTGGTGACAAGGACTTCCGAAGATGTTGTAGGAACTTGGGTATCAGAGAAGAAAAATTATCTCCAAGGGTGATGGCTGTGTCACAGACTTTGAACACAAGGCTCAAGGGAAGGGTCGCCTAATAACTTATCCTGACCTGGGAGAAAAAGAACAGAAAAGGTTCCTGCCATAGAAACAAAGTACAACACAATCAAAAATCACCCTGCTGGAAGGTTTGCGCAAAAGCTTGTATTTTAGATTTACCATAATTCTTTAAATTATGCCTGCCAAATCACTTACCCAGCATTCCACCAGCCACCAGGATGTCAAAGAGTGTTTCTGCATACCGGCGATAGTCAAGTTTTGCTCCAGAAGCATCAAGAAACTTAGCTACCGCTTCCAAATCAGTCCCAGTTTCAGTTAAGCCTTGAATAATACAGTCTTGAAATTGGGTAGGGTCAAACCTCTCTTTTTCATCTGGGAGGGGGAAAATCCAAAACATTTAGTCTCAAAGGCTAACCAAAGTGCCACAAGCCATCACTTTCTGAAATTGTTGATAAGTTTATTAAATTCTTCACCATTAAATTTTTTCATTATCTGAAAAAAGCACAAACACAAACTACACAGATTAAGACTTGTGGGGCATGGGTTTAGTTCAGTGGTTCCACTGCCTTCCTCACAAGCACAAGGACCCAAGTTCAATCCCCGGTACCAAAAAAAAAAAAAAAGACTCGCAACAAACAAAAAAACATGACAAGAGACGAACCATACCTTCTTCAGTTATGCACATACAATGCTGGATGGTCCAGTCACAGGAACTACGTGGCTCTTCTACTTTTCCAAACAAATCTCTTAAGGGAACTACATGTGCTAGTGTTTGGATTTATTCCCGTGAAATTCTGCTCCTATAGCAGAGGTCTTAGTTTTCTTTAAATGTGCATACAATTTTAATATGACCAGTCATTTGGTACAGTAAGTTCCTGACTTACAAGTAAGTTCTGTTTCAGGAGAATGTAAGTCGGATTTGTTACGGTGGAAAAAAGTGATCCTTATACAGTACACCTGTGAGAGTTTACAACTTATTGTATTTATTATAATCGTTGCAAAGTCTGCGACTATCAAATATATGTATGCTAGAAACAGTACTGGGCACACTGCTCTCCATTAATGTCAAGAGGTGGATTTTGTTTCCATTATTCAGAAAGAAAACTGAGTCAGTAAAATCAGGTAACCAGGAGATGATACTGGTTAGCAGCGCCGCGCCGGAGTTCTGGAGATGAACTGCCTGCCTGCAATCCCAACACAACATAACTTTGTGGACTTGGGCGTAGCCTTCTTCCTCTACGGTGAAATGCGGCTGAGAACACTGCTTGTTCTCACAGAGCTGCTGTGAATGAGAAGGAACGTAAAGCAGAAAGCACACAGCACCTTGGGCACACCTAGCCCTCACCGAGCAGCTTTCACACTGTGCAAGTCTATGTGTATGGTGCTAGGGATGGCACCCAGGGCCTCTCGCACAACAGGCAAGAGGTCTACCTCTTACCTCTGTGCCTCACCTCCAGCCCCTGGCCAGGGTTAGATACATTTCAATTTTCACACAGCAAGAAGCAGCAAATTCTTCTCTTTGCCCCGTCTTTCCTGGTTTTAGAACAAAGGGTCCTGTGTCTTTGGCCGTTCTCTCAGCTGGGGAAAACGGGGCTATCCACCCTAACCAGGCCCCTCCTCCTCAACAGCGGGAGGCTCAGAGTGATCTTTCACTGCAGTCAGGGAAGGGCAACTCTCTGATGCTAACAAAAAGGGTGCCTGCCTGCTGCCATGTGCATAAGTGTAACACTAGTAACCACTTTTACCACCGCCGAGATGCTCTAGTTTATACCTCCTGTTTGGAGAAAGATGATACATATTCTGTGACAGGCATCTCACAGTGTCTGTCACTCAAGGCAGAAAAATAATTTATATCCAGTAGCTGACTTAGTCCTCACTTTCTCAAATCTTTCTGTCATATGCGGTTAAATAAGTGCTTTCAAACATTTAAAAATGCAGGAAAACACTAAACTCAACACCAAATATATCCAAGACCAGATCTTACTTAGCTCTGTACTAGTACAAGGCCTCAATAACAAACTTAACATTCACTTAATACTATGTGCATCATAAATATATACTAATAACAAGCAGAAAAATGAAGTGAAAAATTTCCCTTAAGTATACCCATTAATGTAAAAAGTGGTTACAATAATTTTTTGTGTGTGTGGTGCTGGGGATTGAACCCCAAGCCACACCAAGGAAGGGCTCAGTCACAGAGCTACATCCACAACCCTAAGATAATCCTTTTATTACTACATTTGTAACAAATATTTCAAGACATCACCATATGAATTCTATTCTATAATAACTTCTACAAGGACTGAGGAGACTCCTCCGCTTCCTGCAAGCTACGTTAAGAGCTGTACCATCAGACCACTCTGACAGCCTCTCTTGCACACATGCTCCCAAAATTTGGGTGAAATTAAATGACATTAGAAGCTCCTTTTTTTTTTTTGAGACAGGGTTTCACTATATAGTTGAGTCTGACCTGGGCTCACTGTGTAGCCTAGGCTGGTCTCGAACTCACAGCGAACCTCCTGCCTCAGCCTCCTGAGTGCTGGGATTACAGGCGTGCACCACCATGCCCGGCTAGAAGCTCCTTTTTTTTTTTTGGTACCGGGGATCTAACTCAGGTCCTTCTGCATGCAAGGCAGGCGGTGGAACCACTGAGCTAAATTAAATCCCCGGACCAGAAGCTCCTTTTTCTTAAAAAATTAACCTCTTTACTTAAGCAGGTTTGCATAAATGAAAACTGCTGGCCAGTAAAACAAGGCCTTATAAAAGGTAACATTACACTAAAAACACTCAACAATCTACTTAAGAGATAGATACCCAGCACGAGAAACTTCAAAAGTTTGAGAAAGCTGTAGAAACACTAAGGGTGTATGTGCCAACGCTGCGAAACAAATTCAGGTTCTTTCCCGTTACTTTCTCTTGGGATTTTAGTACCATGTACGGATCATAAGATACTTGGAAGTTTGGTGAAGATTCTGAAATGTACTTACCTCTTTTTCTGGTTTTAAAACGCTGGCCGGATAGCGTTGGCTTTTGCTGCTTTTGATTATTCATAAAAGACACCCTAGGAGGAGAGAAGACAAGAGGCCTCAGCGCACCCGCGCTGCCACCTCCCGTCCAGGTCCCGGCG